GAGTAAATGGGCAGCTTCTGTCCGGAGGTGAGATGAGAAGGCAGAGAGGGTCAGGAGCTGGTTGAATGGACACAGGAAATCAGGGGTGGAAAGGAGGAGTGTGCTGGCACAGTACAGGGAGAGCAATTAGGGTCACATAATAATGTATGTATAAATTTTTGTACGAGACTAACATGAATTGTAAAATTTCACTTAAAGTACAACAATAAAATTAAAAAAACAAAAAAAAAGAAGCAAACCAAGATGATGGCCAAGTTTAAAAAAAAAAAAAATTATAAAATGTGCTGGGAATTGTAGTAGATGTTAAGTGGCCCCAATTTTTGCTCCTTCCTGCATCCATGTAGTTTGGCCTGTAGTTCTGCAGGCTCTTCCACTATGGGTGGGACTGCCTTCCTACCCTTTTTTCTCTGGAGTTAACCATGTGACTTGATTTGGCCAAAGTGACATCAGCAGGTTGACCTGACCAAAGGCTTGAATCATACTTGTGCAGCTGAGCCTGCTTACTCTTGTGCTTCCACCATCTAGACGTTTATCCCACAAGGAGAATAAGAGCCATGTGAGGCAGAGCCCGCCAGCTGAGCCCCATCTAGACCACCAGACCCCACCCTGCATATTCTCAAGGATGAATAATCATTGTTTTAAGTCAATCAGTTTTTATGAAGTTGGTTTTGCAGCATGTTTGTAACAAAATTCTATGCAGAGTTTATGTTTTTGACAAAATGGAACAAAAATAAAATTTGACACATGCTTTTTAAACTATTAGAGGAAAAAAAAAAAAGAAAACCCTATGGAGCACAGTTCTACTCTGACACAGATGGGGTCACGTGAGTCAGGATCAACCTGACAGCAACTGGTTTTTTTTTTGGTTCCATACTGAACTATGTGTGCTGAATTTCCTCAACTTGCCCAGCTCACTCCCCATGCTACATACGCTGCTGCTCCTGACACATTCTTTCTCTCTCTTTTCCTGGCTCACACTCCCTCATCCTTTCACCACCATTCCTAGCAAGCACCCCACAGTACTATGGCTGCCTGTCTCTGCATCACTCTCAGCTCTGTATGGCAGGACGCACGCGGTCCTGCTCACTGTGTAGGACAGTGCCCAGCACAGGCCCTGAACTCAGTGTAAACAGTGGCTGCACTGGTAAAAATCGGCAAATCAGTTAAATTTTCAAGACCCAGCTCAGAGTTTCTTTACTCAGGTCATTTCCAGCTCCTGAGGTTTTTTTCTTGGTTGTGCTTGAAATATACACTTAAAATATATATATATATATATATATATATATACTATTCTTAAAAATTACCAAAGTATGTCCTAATGAACGCTGCCCTTTTAAAATAAACCAGGAAAACAAAATACTCATTCCAATTTTGCTTATACTCTTCAAAACATTTTTTGAGTTCCTCATTTGGCAGTGCCCTCAGAGTCAATTTATAAGTGATAGAAGAAAGTCAGTCATTCATATCCTTCTGATTTTTTCGCCCAAAACTTTATTTGCTAGGCTTGGATTTGAATTTTTTGGCAATCTAAAAAAAAAAAGACAAAATTAATAATCATCATTGAAGTTGGCAGTACCATTAAAAATCTACAAACAGCTTCCCAAGGTGACTGCTTTAAAGGAGACAACATTCATCTGAATGTAAGTCCTAGTATATGAGCTAAAATCATCAGTCCTGTTACTTAATAGTCACAGTCATATATATGAGAAAAGTTATATTTTATTTAAATAACTTCTTATGAAGTAGATTTTATATACTTGGTAGACTAAAAATTAAAACTGCCTTTTCTACAAAACAATTGACAAATTACCATATTCTTAGTTCTTTCATGATATAATATTAAATTGTTTAAAAAATGAAAAAGCAATTAATGTTAATTATTAGCATTTACAAAACAGTAAAATTATGAAAAACTATATTACAAGCAAAGGCACAAAACACTAATGAAAATAAAACAAGGGTGAACCTTGCTGAATATTAAACATTATTTTCAGCAGGCTTACTTTATGCTCACACTGCAATTGGCCCAACATGTTCAGCACCATAAAACAATAGCCTGTGAAATGTGAAATAAGAATCGTCTTCAAGTCTTGCAGTGGTCCAGTTTCAGCATGATGGCATGTTTCCATTCCTCTTTTTAGTTTATAAAGTACTTCATTTAGCCACTCTGGAGGAATTTATTTTCTTGATATCAACTGGACTCAGAATCAATGTGCCATTTTTGAATTTTCCAACCTGTCCAACCCGTCCGCTTGACAAAATACTGGGCGCCGATTTCTTCTTTTGGGATTTCCTACGTTTAAAGTAGCAGGAGGGTAACATAGTCAAACTTATGAAGAAGAATCGTAGCACCACCAAGGCCACCATTCTCTGAGCCCTGTCAGCACCCAGTCCTTCCCCATGCCCTCTCCCCACATGCAGCCCCAATGGCCTCCCTCAGTCCCTTAAACATGCCAAGACCCTTCCTGTCCCAAGGCCTTTGCACTTGTTTCTTCTGCATGGAATGTTCTACCAGATCTTCCCAAGCTGTCTCTGCCTCAGTTCTCAGCTCAGATGTCACCTCCTTAAGAGTGACTTCCCAGGTCACCCTCAGTTACTGTCTCTCATAATACTCTATTTCAACCCCTCCACAGTTCTGGCTAGTACCTGATAGGATCTTATTTATTTGCATGTTCTGGTCTGTCTCCCTTCATTAAAATGTAAGCTCCATGACGGTAGGGATACCATCAGTTTGATCACAGCTGTATCCCTAATGCCTCACACACCTATGTGCCTGGCACAGAGCAGGCACTCATCAGATACATGTGGCCAGAACAAATGACCACCTTATGGCATGTAAAGTTCACCAGAAGTCCAAGAAAAAAGGTTACAATAAAAGAAGTCAATTTTGAAACATTCATTCAAGGAGAGAGAAAAAAAGCACTTGACGAAAAGCCAAGAAACAAGCAACAAAGTCAGTGTTTCAATAATCAAAATTAAAGTGCTCCCCCTTACATGGTATGTCAAAGACTGGGCAATACAGCCTCAGAGTGGGCTGTCTGATCTGCAGGCTCTCCGAGCAGGGAACAGAGACTTCTGTTTGGAAATGTCAATCTCAGCTTTTCCACTAGTGAACTGGGGGACTGGAGAGGAGCCCTAATTCTGTTCTGGGGTAGTCATTTGATCTTGGGTGACTTATCAATCCTGTATCCCCATTAAAGGGCTTGATTTGATAAAACGAGAGACAGTGAAGCATTCTAACAGGCTAGAAGCACTACATAACTTCAAGGCATTATTTTCAGAACTGATCAACAGGCTCACCCACATCATCCGATTCTAGTATCTAATGGTGTCGCTCACCTGTCTTCCTGCTGATTCCTCTTCTTTTTCTTGAAAATATCTGTGTCTTGGGCCTGATTTCAGAATTTTGGATAATATATGTGTCATTAATGGGTAACAGATTCAAAAATAGACACGATGTTTGTGACCAAAAGCCACTGACATATCATTTTTTTAATATTTTTTCTAGTGGGCATATTAAACATAACAGACTCAAAGTTCCACCCCAGAACCCTTTCAAGAATGTGAAAGGCGACTGCAGGTAATACTGACAGTAGATATGTCAAGTCTCCCATGCTGGGTCAAAGGAGGGGGGCATAACAGCTAGTCCCCTTGTGGGTTTTTACAGGCCCTTGTGTTCCACACAACATAAAATATAAAAGAGGATGGAGGATAGGGAAAAGGGCAAAGTAACTTGCATTACTGGAACAGGAGGTTGTTATTTCCAAGCAAACCTTTCATTTAAATATGCCATTACAAAAGTGTAGCTGATTCAAAGAAGTGGGGAGAATTTGATCATTGTACCCTAGCATTCCTGGGATTTTTTACAGAGTTAGATGAGCAGACTGTGGTAAATTGCACTTGTCTTTCTGTTTCAGTTTAATATAGTAGAGAAAAGGATATTATATCTACCATTCTCTTTTCTTCTTCCTTTGCTGTCTTTTTTTCTTTGATTTGTTCCTGCAAAACCTTGTAATTAACATAACTATTTTTGGGAGGCTGAAATGAAAGAAGAAGGACACATATCATCATTTTTTACTTTGCAGAAATTTCCCTGCGTTCCTTACCCTGACTTGCCCATGGCTCACCCCCTTCCGTACTCCTGTCTGGTGACGGCAGGCAGAAATAGCCTCTCACCTTAGCACCCAGCATAATGGCACGTTCCTGTTCCAGAACCCTTTCCTTTCCTTTTCCATAACCTGTGATTCCAAACCGGTGCACTTCCAAACGAGCCTGTGGACATGAACCAGAAGTAGACCCAAGTACATTCCAACAATTACACAGAAGGAACACATCTCTAGAAATAAAGCATTTTAGACAGACGCTGTACATTAAATATTTTTATGTATTCTCATGGCCTGCAATGACTACAATTAGCAATAATCCTGCTGTGGTTTAAGCTCTGTGGAGGCTTCTCCTGCAATGTTACCATCATCTCACAACTCCTTCCTCCCGGGTTTAATTTGGAAAACTGAAGCTAAGAATTCTCTCTACAAATCAGTGACAGAACTAGGAATAAAACAGAGGTCTGTAGGACTTTAAGATGCTCTGTAAAACAAGCCAGTACCCATAAAGGCAGTAATTTCAACTTAAAAGTACCCCTCCAAATGGACCTTCTAATACTTAGAAACCATTTATCATAGCAGCTTCAAACACAGACCCTTGTTTTTGTTCTTTTTAAGGAAACATCACCAATATCCTCTTTTAGCACTTGAATAACTTCCTCCTAGTCTTTTTTTCTTGTGCATTTTTAAAAACCTAGCAACCATCCCATAATATACACATTTCTGCTTTTTTTTACTTACCATTGTAGTCATGTAGTCTTCAGAACGTTTTTTTAAATCGTTGCATAATATTCAATCAAGTGAATATAGTGTAATCTACTTAACCATTTTCCCATCTGTTAGATATAAGAACATACTCACTTTTTTGGTATTATAAAAAAAGCTGCAAATTAACAATTTCAAAGCACATACCTTTTCTAAGTTAAATTCTTGTATAACCACATCTTTCTCAAGGACACTGGTTTTGGTCTAAAAAAAAAAAAATTCTTATTAAGATCATCTGTTCTTCTATGACTAAAGCATCTATCACCAACAGAACAGACATGTTTTAAGAAGCCCTGAAACTTGCCCCGATGCCTGAATATCGTACACTATAATACAAGCATGCTACACAAAACAGCTAAGAAAAGAAAAATGGAGAAAATATTTTTTAAGGTCCCAAAGCTTAAGAAAGGCTTGATGACAAACTAAGAAAAAGGGAAAAAAAAGATGGCAATGTCTGTAGCTCATGAACCACATGTAGAAAACTCGGGGGGGAGGGATTAAAGAAGATTTAGGGAAGGATAACTGTTTGGGCAGGGATTGTAGAAGATATAAGATGTTATATATGAGTAATTTTTTATCTCTTTTCTTCCCTCCTGTCCTTCCACTGGAATAATGGCTAACAACTCTCTTGCAACAGTGTAGACTTTGTTTACACTTTCTAATAGAAAACAATGATGCAGCAAATGCTTTCAAAATAAGATTGCTGCTGAGCAGGGTGCGGTCATGCTGCAGAGCCCTGCCCCACAAAATGCCCAAACATGCCCTTCACAGCAGTCTAGTTTCTCCTTCTCCAAACAGGAGTTGTTCTTGTGCGGAGCCTGTTTTTCCGCCCACCATTGCATTTTGGGTAAGTATGATGTAGGATGACTTTTGCTTCCCTGTGAAATGTCTATTACTGTACTTACTTCAATTAAAAAAAAAAACAAAAAAAACCCACTGCCATCGAGTTGATTCCAACTCAATAGTGATCCCATGTGTGACACAGTAGAACTAAGCTCCATAGGGTTTTCTTGGCTGTAATTTTTAAGGAAGCAGACTGCCAGGTATTTCTTCTGCAGCACATCTGGGTGGCTTCGAACTGCCAACCCTTCAGTTAGCAGCTGAGCACTTAACTGCCTGTAACACCTAGGGACCTATATATTATACATTTGTGTATATATATAATAGCCTCACAGAGGGATTAGTACTATTGAATAGGATTAAAGTATGCTAAGTGTGCAGCACAGGGCCCAGTGCAGGAAGACTCAATCAATGCTATTCTTATTAACTAATTACCAACTACCAGAGCAGCAGGTACCAGTAATCACTGCAACACTTGGCATTTGCTACAACACTCAAGACTGAGTGGCTGTCATAAGCGCAGGTGCTGATGGTAACGAGGAAGAGTACAGGATGCTTTGTTAGGGCCTAGGCATATGGCTACTTTTGTGCTGTAAGACACAATACATGCATTTTCCATATGATTTTATTAAGCTTCTTTGCCTTCATTAGGCTTATACTTTTCTTCAGACAATCACATATTTCCCATCTGTTTGACAGAATCAAATGCCTTCATTAAGATCACAGACACATCATGGAAGAGGCTGTTTGGGGCATTTTTGTTTTATCTACCTAAGAAAAAATCTTATTTCCTATTCTACGACTAGAAAAAAGTTACATTTACTTTGAAGTTAGAATATCTTTTCCACTGGCATGCACATCTAATCCATTTAGTGTGATTAAAAAGTAATATTACTTTTGAAAAAAATGGATTAGATCTTGATGATTTCAGGGACACATCCAGACTCTCAAATACAAATTGTGTGGTGATGGTTGAATATGATGAATTAATTAATGTCACTGAATTATACATGTAAAAAAATGTTGAAATGGCAAATGTTTTGCTACATATTTACAATAAAAAAATTTGTGAATACAAAAAAAATTATATATAGTTCACAGATCCCCAAAATCCCATGAAATATTTATTTCCTTTTCTGAATATTTAAATAATTCTCTCTCTTCTTCCCTCCCACTCACCCAATGAAGTAATGGCTAACTAATCTTTTTTAAGCTGGGTGATTCTTTCAGGCACATCAGATTTCTAGCAACCTGGAGATGTCGCATGTTCCAGGCTGACCTATTACTAGGAGATCAGTATGAGAATGGACAATCTAGGGGACTTAAGCTCTGTAATAATTCTTGACCAATTGTGTGACAGTTACTGTGAGGCTGACACCTCTGACCCACAGAGGAGAGGGAAGTCCAGCCTCTGCTCATCCCTGCTTGCCCAACACTGGCCACACTGAATATCCAGCTCCTCACACTCAGGCTTCTGTTCATCCTGTGTGGAGACACCTGGGCTGGGGGCCATCTATACCAAAGGAAGGGCCAGGCCCTCAGGTAGCAGCTCTGGCCCAGTCACAGAGACCTCAGTGCTCCCCATCCCTCTGTCAACATTTCACCAGACATGTCTTAGTTTTGTTGTATCTGTTGATATGTTTCTGAGAACTGGTCTGGGGTCTGGACCCTTGCTTATAATAAACACAGACATCTGGGGGGAAGTTGTTGACTAATTATTTCCCAGATGCTGAGTCAATTAGCATGACCCACCACTATGTTTTATTTTATTCACAGCACTTCAGTATGCTATCGATAATGCATTCCCTGATTCAGAAACAATCAGTGGGTCCTCTATTTTTCTTTCCCTTCATACTCACTGTGGTAGGAGGCATTACTTCCTGCAGACAATACTGGGTCCTCCTCTACTTCCAAGCACACAAGAGAAATGTGCTTCCCTGTCTGCCTGAAGTTAGGTACAGCTACATGGCTTTCTTTGGCCAAAGAAATGAGTTGAGTGGATGTATGCCCCTTCCACATGGAACCTTTAAGAGCCATTGATCAACTCCCCTTTCCTTCACCAAAGTAACTAGTGGTCTTCCAGAAAATAGAGTACCTACTATCCTGGGTCCCTGGATGAGAACAGTGTTCAGCAGAGTAGCTTGCCCCTGCCAATCCTTGACTGCCACGTGGCATGAGAAAAAAATTAACTTTTGCTTTTTAAATCATTGAGAAACCAAAACATCAAACCAGTTGCCACTGAGTGAATTCCAACTCACGGCGACCCCACTGCTACAAAGTAGAACTGTGCTCCACAGAGTTTTCTAGGCTGTGACTTTTTGGAAGCATATCAACCATTTCAGGAGGCAGAATCTGATCAAGAACCAATGGTACTGATGAAAGAAGTCCAAGATGCGCTGAAGGGAACGGTGAAAAACAAGCCTCCAGGAACTGACAGAATACCAATCGACACGTTTCAACAAACAGATGCCACACTGGAGGTGCTCACTCATCTATGCCAAGAAAGTTGGAAGATAGCTACCTGGCCAACCGACTGGAAGAGATCCATATTTGTACCCTTTCCAAAGAAAGGTGATCCAAAAGAATGCAGAAATTATCGAACAAAATCATTAATATCATACACAAGAAAAATTTTGCTGAAGATCATTCAAAAGCACTTGCAGCAGTACATCAACAGGAAACTGCCAGAAGTTCAAGCCAGATTCACAAGAGGATGTGGAATGAGGGGTGCCATTGCTGATGTCAGATGGATCTTGGCTGAAAGCTGAGAATATCAGAAAGATGTTTACACGTGTTTTATTGACTACGCTAAGGCATCTGACTGTGTAGATCGTTAACAAATTATGGATAACATTGCTGTCATGGATTGAATTGTGTCCCCCCAAAATATATGTCAACTTGGCTGGGTCATAATTCCCAGTATTGTATGATTGTGTACCATTCTATAATCTGATGTGATTTCCTTATGTGTTGTAAACTCTGATCACTATGATGTAATCAGATGGATTAGCGGCAGTTATACTGATCACGTATACAAGATCAGATAGTGTATTAAGCCAATCTCTTTTGAGACATAAAAGAGAGAAGCGAGCAGAGACACATGGGGACCTCGTACCACCAAGAAAGCTGCACCAGGAGCAGAGCGCACCCTTGGGACCTGAGGTTCCTAGGCTGAGACACTTCCAGACCAAGGGAAGACTGATGACAAGGACCTTCCTCTGGAGCTAACAGAGAAGTCTTTCCCTGGAGCTGACACCCTGAATTTGGACTTGTAGCCTACTATACTGTGAGAGAATAAATTTCTCTTTGTTAAAGCCATCCACTTGTGGTATTTCTGTTAGAGCAGTACTAGGTGACTAAGACAATTACAAACAATGAGAATTCCAGAACACTTAATTATGCTCATGAGGAATCTGTACACAGACCAAGAGGCAGTCATTTGAACAGAACAAGGGGTCACTGCATGGTTTAAAGTCAGGAAAGGTGTGCATCAGGGTAGTATCCTTTCACCATACTTATTCAGTCTGTATGCTGAGCAAATAATCTGAGAAGCCGGACTGCGTGAAGAAGAATACAGCATCAAGACTGGAGAAGAATCATTTACAACCTGCAGATGACACAGCCTTGCTTGCTGAAAGTGAGGACTTGAGGCACTTACTGATGAAGATCAAAGACTATGGCCTTCAGTATGGGTTGCACCTCAACATGAAGAAAACAAAAATCCTCACAACTGGACCAATTTTCTCATGATAATGGAGAAAATATTGAAGTTATCAAGGATTTCATTTTACTTGGATCCACAATCAATGCCCATGGAAGCAGAAGACAAGAAATCAAACAACGTATTGCATTGGGCAAATCTGCTGCGAAAGATCTCTCTAAAGTGTTAAAAAGCAAAAACATCACTTTGAGGACTAAGGTGTGCCTGAACCAAGCAAGCTATGGTATTTGCAATCACCTCATATGCATACGAATAAGAAACAACGAAGAATTACTGATGCCTTTGAATTATGGTGTTGGCAAAGAACACTGAATATAGCACGGACTGCCAGAAGAACAAACAAATCTGTCTTGGAGGAAGTACTGCCAGAATGCTCCTTAGAAGCAAGGATGGTGATGTTTCATCTCACGTACTTTGGACATGTTATCAGGAGGGGCCAGTTCCTGTACTTTGGACATATTATCAGGAGGGACCAGCCCCTGGAGCAGGACATCATGCTTGGGAAAGTAGAGTGTCAGCAAAAAAGAGGAAGACCCTCAATGAGATGGACTGATACAGCCGCTGCCAACAATGGGCTCAAGCACAGCAATGATCTTGAGGATGGCACAGGATTGGGCAGTGTTTTGTTCTGTTGTACGCAGGT